TCGCGACGATATTATTACATCGTCCAGGTATGGAAAGGCAATGCTGTTTTTGTACGACCCTAATACCTTATCTATGAGTCGCAGAAATACAGCCGAACCGTTCGTTAACCCAAACGGCATTCTTAAAAACTCATAATGTCCTTCCGAAGTTATAAAGGCTGTCTTTGCAATCGAATTTTCTGCCACCGGTACTTGATAATAACCCGATGCCAAGTCCAATCCCGTGAAATATTTACGTCCGCCGAGTTTATCAATTTGATCGTCAATTAACGGTAACGGATATTTATCTTTTATCGTCACGGCATTTCACTTCTGATAGTCAATGCACATTCGATAATCGCCCGTTTTCTTCTTTACTAAGGTAATCGGACTCGCGTACGGTGAATCTGATTCCCGTATTATTTTATTATCTAATAAATCTTGGATCATTTCCCGTACGATTCTTTTGTCCGACTCCGCGAGACGATATTTTTCACGCGTTTCCATTATCGATATCTCCAAATTGTAAATTAATTTTCGAAACCACATCACAGATGCTTATACTCATTTCCGCCGGGATGGATTATATTGAATATTAAACGATTCCCACGTTTTATCATTACAATGTGCTCTTGTAACAAAAAGTCTCATCCCACAATGACTTCGTATCTTGTATATTCGTTAAGGACAACAAACGAATCTACATTCGCAGTCGCGTTTTGAATCGTGATTAACACCCAAGCTACCTCATTCGCCAGCACTGTTTGACCCGCAAATGCTCGAAGGAACGCGTCAGTGGCTGTTTTTGGTGCGGTACTAAATTTTTTTATTACAGAGGAATGTATTACAGTACATACACTACCCGTGTCAATTAATCCTTCAATTCGTTTTCCATTGACACGAATACTAAGTTGATTATGTTACGTAAGGGTTTGATACTCTGTAGAATATTTACCTCTTTACCGCGAACTACCTCGCTTCTACCTTTGCGGCAGCTTTTCGCGAAGTGCTCCATTTCTCCGCAGCTATAGCACTTCGGAGGCGGTCGAAATTCTTCATCTTTCTTCCACGTGCTTGTTGTCGGGGCTACCTAGCCCTGTGGCAGCTTTGCCCCCCCCCCCTTTTTTTTATTGTGGGGAAATACGTTACGCATATCTCGGTTTCCCGGGGGGAAAAACCGAGGTTATGTGGGACTACCATCGGGGAGGGGAGCGCCAAATGCACGCCCGTCCGCGATGGCTACCCACTAAAACCCCACACCCACCTAAGCTACATGGGAAGCGCCTGGATCACGCGAGTACTTGCAGGACGCTTCCCAGCTTACATGAATCCCGGGGGGAGGGTGTTAGCTTCTCCCACTACCTACTCTCTAAGACCCCGGGCGGAGGGACCCGCTCGGTGTCCCCATCCCTGGGACCGTCGGAATGGGCTTCCCGAGCTCCCGCTCGGTCCACCCACAGCCCCCGGCATCTTCGTGTCCGTACTGGTTCAGGAAACAAAGAGCTTCCTGAACGCCAGGACAAGAAGACGCCGACACCGGTAAGGAAGGGTCGTCGGAGGCGTGATCCGGCACGCCCCGACCCTCCCCACCCCATCCCCCATGCGCCCCCACAGGACCCGTTGGTCCAAGTGGGGACGGGCCGACCACACAACCTCGGCCCGTCCCGAGGGGAATTATATCCCCTCTGGGGGCCAGGGTCAGCTCAAGCCCCGGCCCCTCACATTCGCAGCTTTGGTCCCCTGGAACTGCTTGGGACAGGTCCCCTCGACCCGCTTGGGATGGGTCCTTTTGTAGCTCCGCGTTGAGGAATACTCTCCAGGGCCGTCATGAATGCATATAACACGTTGGCGTCCTCGTGCTGGGCCGAACGCATCGTTCGGGCGACGCTTTTCACCGGTTATTCTTCCGATAACCATGTCTACCACGTACTTTTCTGGAATCTTGATATCTAGTTTCCTAAGCTTGCTGAGCTTTTGGAAACAATAGTCTCCCAGACTCTGACCCGGCTGAGTCTCGTACAACGCAGCCTCCTTAAAAAGCCGACTGAACGGGACCGTCTTCCTAAACTGTGTGACCAATAACAGCTTCGTTTCTGCCCACGTGGTAGTGATACGCTGGCGGGTATCATGCCACTGCTGCGCATGGCCACGTAAACGGCTCGCGATAATTTGGGATACCGCCAGATCGTTTCAATCGTATTGCCGCGATAACTCGTCCACGTGGTGGACCCATTGTTCCACCACTATATCATCTTTCGCGGGATTGAACACAGCGATGAGTAATTCATCCCCTGGGCGGGAGCGGATCGGCGATCGCGTACGCGACAATGAGCGATTGCTCAGTTCTGCTACCATACGCTCTAGTCCATCGAGCCTATCTTCTTTTTCGGACACTCGCGGACCGCGTCCAATCGGTGACCGTGATACCGACCGCGATGCTAACCGCGATGTTGACCAATGTCGCACAGGGGACCGCGAACGAGATCGCGCTTGCGGCCGTTGCTCCTCCGCGAGAATTCGCTCTAATCGTTCGAAACGCGCATCTAATTCGTCCTCCGCATTTCGTTCGGGGGAGCTTCGTCTCTCTGGCGAACGACTCGTAGAATGTTCGCGAAATTCCCTCTGGCTCACCAGGGATCGACTGCGACGCGACTGTCCACTCACGTTCCTCGTTCGGCATGTTAGCTTCTTAGAAAAATTCCCTTGCATTGACTGAATTGTGATTTGCACCATACCCTTTGATTCAGAGCTGATGGTGTTAATTCCACTAACCGATACCGATTGTTTCACCGCCCGCAGATCTATCCGCTTGACCATCGACTCGGATATCAAATTCGCGGTGGCTCCCGTGTCTAAAGGTGAGGTCCCATGAACGTAATGCTCGTGCTCGGGCAATAAATTATCCGTGATCGCCGGATTTTGTTCGAAAACACGTTCCTACTAGCGTCCAAGAGGTCGCTAAATGCGACGACAAACGGTTTGGAACCACTTGAAAGGATCGATTTTTACGAGCGTTTGAGTCTCGGCCCATGGTCTAGGCTCGCGAGCACGGGGACTATTCCATGAAAAAAAATCGACCCTTTCGAGTGGTTCGAAACTAGACCCCCAATACTTGTTTTCACCGAGACCGGAGGCGCTTACCTGGGTTCGCTCAAGGGTCTGGGGTCAAACGGGCGACCGACTCACCAGTTTTTAATAAAATCGAATTCTTTATTCTTCACCGTATCAACGTGAACGCGATGCCATTGGATTCTTGGTGTTCTCCCGATTAAAATGATATCTCACGTCGCGTAAGTCGAACTATTTTTAACGAAATAACTTTTCAATTATGCAATCAGATTTTGCATACAATTTCGTTAAAAATAGTCCGATTTACGCGATGTGAGATATCATTTTGATCGTAGAAACATCAGGAATCGATTGAAGTTGCTTTTGCGAAGTTCCGATAAAAATTATCGAGATTGGTATTTTTAATTCTTTATGATATCCCCTTGTCGACCGCCCGTTGCGATGACGGTGCCTGGCCTTTTTCGGGATTCCGTGCTCGTTTAGGTGTTCGCCGCTCGTTGTGCCAGCTCGCCTGGGTCCATCCGACCTTCCTGCGCGTCGAGTTGAGAGTTTCAAGTGGACGTTGCTCGTGCTCGCCGCCCGAACTTACGTTCATGGGACCTCAACTTAACAGAGCACGACTGTTCGCGAACGGATGTTCGGTTCGCGCGGACTGCAGAAATGAATGCTCTCGTTCTTGATTATTGTCTAAACCTTTAGTCTCGTCAATTCGGTACAGTTAGGTAGAATCAAGGTGTTACTGAAATGACTTATGAGCTACCTGTCAAAAACGAGATGTTCAGTCGATGATTGAGCTGGCGAAGACGATGAAGAAAGTATTTCCGTTCGATGAGCTGACTACACCGCCTGGCGCAGTTAAACTATAAATTCTGCCGCCTGTGGTCGCTGAGCTTGTCACAATGAGTAGAACTTCCACTTCAACGCACTCCGGGATGAGTCTTATTAGAGAGTTTGAGCTGCACTTGAGTAAACTGGTTAACTGTTCAAAGGCTATGCGTGATGCGTTTTCGTTGAATTTGAGATTCACAATGGCGTCTCAGCGCACGTGGCGCGAGCACGCGGCCGGTGCACGTTCCGAAAACGGCCGAAATCTCATTCGCTGGACAAGAGCGCCCACTGTCGATCGATGACTGATCGATGCGACGCCAGCAGCCTCACGGCACGTCATTTAAGAGCCGATTCGCAAACAACGACACTCTATTAGATTGTGTTTGTTATCACGTCAGTGATCGGCATAATAAAGTGACCATCCTATATTGTATACAGAATATCTTAAAACTAATGTTTTTACTGAAAAAGAATCCTATTATCGGGCTTTTTTTTAAAGGTTTATTGTCACACTAAAGGTTTGTTACCAAAATTAAGAGAGTATTTGCAATAACAAGAAATTATGATTTTATTTTAACAAAACAAGCATTTTCATATAAGACAAAAATAAGTGACCACTATATAAATCTTCATTTACTCTTGCAAGAAAATTAAATTTAATACTTAGTATTGCCCCCTTTGGCATTAATGACTGCCGTCAACCGTCTATGCATGCTTTCGACCAGATTATGTAGATGATTAGGATTGAGACTTCCCCAAGCTCGCTGTAGTGCATGGAAGTAATTATTTTTGTTTGTGACTCTAGTTTTGTTCACATTTGCGTCCAAAATCAACCATAAATTTTCAATAGGGTTTAAATCTGGGGACTGTGGCGGCCAATCAGACAGTTTTATGTGATGGGAATTAAAAAACTTCTTTGTTTTATTGGCGGTATGTTTGGGATCGTTATCTTGTTGTAAAATAAAGTTATTCTCCAAACCTAATTGGATCAACGAAACTTCCAAATTTACACGTAAAATATCAATATAAGTGTCAGCAGTCATGATTCCATCGATTTTTCTTAATTGACCCACGCCTTCCCAAGAAAAACAGCTCCAGACCATGATACTTATGGGGAAGTTTACCCATATTATATTTTAATGTAGACTAAATAAAAGTTTTGATTGAATAAGAATTTCTGGTATTTAAACGATCTCTCTTGCTTAATGGATTGACAGAAAGTGTGTTAACATATTTAAAAGGCAAACAAAATTAAATTATGTTTCACAAAAGACAATCAAATGAATAACATCAAGTATCATCGAGTTAACAGTTAGTTCTTCTTTATTGACGGTCTTCATAAATCTTCTTATCGACGATGATGAGTGCGTCCACCACAATACTCCCCCCTGAGTGACAAAGTTGACTCGAACCGGACTCTTTTCTTGTTTGCAGGAAGATAAGTTCTCGGCTGAAACGACTGCAATCGGCTGCCTTGAAGAATAGATCTAGATGAAATTGGAGAATCCGATTGAGAAGTTTGTTGAAGGTCGGAAGATTGATCTGAGGAAATAAACTGAGGTTCGTTGTGATCAGCAACCAGAAAAGCAGGTTTTAATTTTTCAATAGAAACATTGGTAAGGTTTCCATCTAAATCAATGGTATAAAAACTTGAATCTTCAGATCTTGAAATAACTGGAAAGGGACCTCGATAAGGTGGCTCAAGAGGACGTCTATCAGGATCTACCCTAACAAAAACGTGAGAACAATTTAATAAATCTTGATTAATAAAAACATGAAGTTTAATATAATAAGAAGTAGAAACAGGACAAAGTTTCTTCATATGTTCTATAAACTTTTCTAGAAAAATCTGTGGAGGAAAAGCATCCAAATCATTGTGAAGAAATTCTGCAGGCGATGCTTTAAAATCTTCTTTCAAAGCTGTTCGTAATCCAAGAAGAACTGTTGGAAGTACATCAATCCAATTCTTATTTCCATGACACATTAAAGCTATTTTTAAAGAACGATGCCAACGTTCCAGGATTCCATTAGTTTGCGGGTGGTAAACAGTTGATCGTGTCTTCTTGCAACCAACTAAATTTGTCAAAGCCTTGAAAAATGATGCTTCAAATTGACTTCCCTGATCAGTAGTAACCATTTTAGGAGTTCCAAAGCGACAAATCCAATTTCGATAGAATTCAGTGGCAACAGAATCCGCAGTTGCTTCCTTTAAGGGAATTGCTTCTGGCTAACGTGAATATCTATCAATCATTGTTAAAATATAGCGAAAATCCTCAGATGGAGGAAGTGGACCAACTAAATCCAAATGAATGTGATGAAATCTTTCATCTGGAATTGGAAAGATTGTTGGCCTACGTTTTGTGTGCTTATTGATTTTAGAAAGTTGACAAGGTAAACAAGTCTTGATACGATCAATAATATACTTTTTCATATGAGGCTAAACAAATTTTTCTTTGATTAATTGACTAGTTGCTTTAACGCCTGGATGAGACAAATTATGTACAAAATTAAAAATCTTTGAACGTAAAGAAGCAGGAACATATGGCCTAACAACACCAAAATTAAATTGTCAGAATCATCAATATAAAATTGTTGAAGTTGAAGTGAAGAAGATGACTCCAGAAGATGTTGCAACTCTTGATCCTTCTGTTGCTCTTCTGCTATTTCCTTGGTATCCGTAAGAACAGGTAAATGAATTTCTTCCAATCGAGAAGAAGCATCTGCTATAATATTATTATTTCCAAAAACATGAGTGATATCCGTAGAAAATTGTGCTATAAAATCCAAATGACGCTACTGACGAGGTGATATCTTTTGTGCTCGCTTTGTAAAAGCATAAATGGGAGGTTTATGATCAGTAAAAATTTTGAAATTTCGTCCTTCAAGAAAATGACGAAAATGTCTTATAGCTTCAAAAATTGCCAATAATTCACGATCGCAGGCTCTATATCGTAATTCTGAACCATGAAGTTTTCGAGAAAAGAATCCTAAAGGATGCCAGTGATCATTTTCAAATTGCTCAAGAACTGCACCAACCGCAATATCAGAAGCATCAGTACTTAATTTCAAAGGAGCGTCAGAACGAGGATGGACAAGTAAAGTTGCAGTTGCTAAACTGTTTTTGCATTCTTCAAAAGCATGTTCAGCATCTAAAGTCCATTGAATTGGAGTCTTATCTCCTTTTTTACTTTTAATAAGATATGAACAAAGAGGTGCTTGAATAAAAGCTGCGTTTTTAATGAATCGTCTGTAAAAATTAATCACTCCTAGAAAACGACGAAGATCTGCCACAGTGTGAGGTTTAGTGTATTCTAAAATAGCTTTAACTTTCCTTGAAAGTGGAGAAATACCAAAAGCGTTAACTTTGTATCCTAAATAAGTAACTTCAGATTTGTCAAAGACACTTTTTGCAACATTAATCGTGATTCCAAAATCCTTAAGTCGTTGAAATAAGATACGAAGATGTTCTTCATGTTCTTCATGACTTCGAGAAGATACGAGAATATCGTCAAGATAGCAATTAACAAAGTCTAAACCTCTCAAAGCGTAGTCTATGAATCTTTGAAAAGTTCGAACAGCATTTCGAAGACCGAAAGGCATGACAACAAACTCAAACAGACCAAAAGGAGTTGTTACAGCAGTTTTTGGTATATACTTCTCCGCAACTGGAATTTGATAGTACCTTAGTATAGTTATTCTGAATATATATATTCTTTTGTGTAAATTCAAAGTTTCCTAAGTCAATTACTAAACCTTCACGATATAACAAGCAATCCTAGGCTGTGTAACGATCCCACAACATAATAACTTTGCCGCTCGAGTTATTATTCAATTAAATTAATAAGTTGCGAGGCTTTATCCGCGACGCGTAGTATTCATCAACGATACGATTTAAGATCAGTGTATTCAACCCGAATTCCCTAATTCAACCTATCCTGCGGTTACCCTTTACTGGGAGATACCGATTCCTGCTAGCTATCTGACTTCGCGCCAGAGTCGCTGCACTTTTTCAACAACTTCACAATTGGAACCTTACCCTACGGTTACCCTTAACTGGGAGATACCGATTCCTGCAGCTATCTGACTTAACGTCCGAGGCGTCTGCATTTGTCTCCAATAACCAACAACCAAACACCCTAACCTACGGTTACCCTTTACTGGGAGATACCGATTCCTGCAACTATCTGACTTCACGTCAGAGTCGTCTGCATTGTCTAATCTATCCTCAGCCTTCGGCACCATTGATACACAATAATTAATCGTATTGGTTCAATTCTCAAATCTACCCAGTTCGCTGGGTTCACACGCGCGTCGCTATCGCCCTGGCTCGTAACAATAATAAAAATATGGAATAAAAAATATAAAGTAAAAATACAAATAAAATAAAATAAAAAGTACAAGTAAAATAAAATAAAAAAATACAAGTAAAATAAAAAACTATACGATATCAACGGGTTGCCCCCGTCTTATTGCAAAGTGGTCCATCGGCGTAAATATGAAATGACGCGCGATGCAGACGAGGCATCACGCCGCAGGTGCACACGTACATAGTTGCTGTCTGCATCGCGCGCAATTCCTGAAGTTGAGGAACCGTAGTCTCGGGATCGCCAAATGAGCCTCGGATCGTAAGTGGAGCTCCCTCTCCTGAAGCGGAATCCGGCGGCGGAAGCGGTCGTCCGTCTCCGGGACGACGAACGCCGCTCGGACCTCCCGCAGGCACCCCAAACTCAACAAATAACTATATGTTTCAGGGTGCTCCTCTGGGAGCACCTCATCGAAGTCAAACTCCTCGACGTTTTCTGGAACCTCATTATATAGGCGCGGTATGTCAATCGGCATTTTTATAAGAAAAAAGAAATGATATTTTTAATATTTCTTTTCACGCATAATCTAGTATTTTTAAAAAATTTCTGCAACACTTTCACACACTGATAACGCCAGGAACTGGTCAATACTGTATATGTATTTTTCACTTACTTTCGTTTTAAAAATTGAAGCATTTCACGAAAAACTCTCAAGCAATTGGTTGTTGTCTTAAGCACTGTCAGACTGCGAATGCCTTTAAAAACGTTACAGCGAAAGATCCAATCCAGTTAGAAACAAAAACTGTTGAGTACGCATCAGCATTTGTCGGGGGAGGCTGATAAAATCCTTCGCGAGTATTATGATAAAGATTTGATACTGGATCCAAGAACCGATCTTCCAGCGAGAAAATAAAACTATTGAGTAGGCATCAGCATTTGTCGGGAGGCTGACAAACATTACACCGGATGAGAATATGATATAGGGGAAATACGCTAGAAACACGCATATATCCAAGCTATTTTTTATTGATAAAAAAAATACATACATTTTTTATTTTTGGTATTTCAGCCATCAGTTGTATAATTTAAATACATTTTGTAAAGCGCAATTCGTTACATGGTTTATGCATCGCATGGTATTAGTAACATCAAGATTTTTAAAACACACGATATCATTGTAATCAGCATCCATGGCCTCAATAGTTACATTCACATTTCTATCAAGTAGATTTTTCAACCAGTCACGTTTTTGGCTTCCCTTGACATATGCGATAGGCCATGCATCGTCGTCGTCGACTATTGCCGTTGTAATCAATCGTTTCGCCATACTGTATGGAACGAAACCATCTTCCCACGACAGTCCATGATGATTTGCCGCCACCCAAGAAGCACGAGATTTATCGGCTCCCGATAGTGAATTCCATAGATACGGGCTTTTGAAAATGTAATGGGTGAGAACGGTTCCTTTTCTCAACACCGCCACTTCCTTTGCGATAAACCTAGTTCTGTCGGTGAACCATTGTATGTCAACAAACGTTGATCGTGACGATATCTTTGAAACTACGCCACAATGCGAGGTGTCTATCTCTTACATATTACAAATATTGATGATACTGCAGTTTATGTGATTTTGCGCACAACGTTGGACAATGAACAGAATTCGATGATGCGATCATGCAAAATAAGACAGTACGCGGCAGTATTTCCTGGCACGTTTTCTTTGCAATCAAATTTTATTCGCACGTCTACGGTGGCGCTCTTGATTGATTCGTTCTGTCGCGAGCAATCGATGACTACAAACGGCCCATGCAACAAAAAGTTGTCCGTGTTGCAAAGCGTTTCGTAACAGTCGTATCCGTAATAAGCTTTACGAAAACGTGCACACATATCAAAAAGAATATCAAATCTGTTTTTATCAAAATCAAGATTCAAGTCATCGTATGGATAAAAGTCAGAGTTTAGATAAAGTTTCACGTTGGTCAATTTACATGCATCGAAATTGCTCGCATCTTCAGACATGATATTCTTTCGACCAGTCTGCAGTGCAAAAATGACGTATCTCGGTTGCTCCAGCTGAGTCGCAGTTTTAACGGCCCACGGATGTTTTGTCGTACTTTACAACAAAGGGTACTCGTACAGGTCCCACGAACGAAAACTCATGCTTAGGTATTGCCCGCTTTCCAAAATTCGCAACAACGGTAGTTTATTCGTATCATTCAGTACGACGTGAGGCATTCGCCACTGTATCTTTAATAATTCGACCACCGGTTCCAGCGTGGAATCTCCAACGATGCAATTATTATCACTGCGCGCGCGTATAAGAGTGGTACACAAAAGTTAAAGTAACCTATCGGTATGTTTGACTGACTGATCCATCCAGCATTACGTAAAATTAGCGATTTGTCAAATGTTAGGGAAACAAAATTTTTGATGGTGCTTGTTATTCCAACGTTTCTGTTGCGATCAATCTCCACGCCATTGAGTTCATATCGAATTTCATCAAACATAAAGGCGACACAATTGTTTCCGAGGTGTGCTTCCACCCCTTCCTTTGGTTTCTTTAGTCTGAATCTTCCTTCAACGTATAGAAAGCTCTCGCATGGTAACGTGTATAAATCCTGCTGTTGTATAGGTATTCGTATCTCATCGTTGTGCTCAAACGTTGTGTTTGCGTATGGGTTGTATGTGTGAGTCTCAATCTCGGCGATGCTGTCGTCAAAGATCGGTTCGCCTCCAATGTTTAAGATATTAGCCATTTCGTACAACGAAACCCAACGATTTCAGAAATTCAGCATTCGATGCAGTCAGCTTCGCAGGTGATCGAATTGTCTTTTCGCCCAATGGTTTTAGACCGCCAATATTCGATACAGTGAGTTTCGCAGGCGATCGAATTGTTTTCTCTTTGTTTTCACGAGTCGTCTGCTCCGCTTTGTTAAATACAAGCATCTCCCACTACGGCCGGTGTCTCCGTACATGCAGTCGAACGGTGATCTGCTTCACTCGAAAATCTAACAATTGACCGTCTTGATCCACGACGCGAATCGTCAAATCCGAAATGCTTTGTGCAGTGATCGGAAGGCAAATGATCTGTGTGGGTCTTTCCGATATCTTATATCGAGGTGGAACGGTAGGCGAAAACTCGTGTATCGTGTGCACGTTCTTGTTATTGCTGTAAGCACCAGCCGTCACGTTGCATTCAATGCGAATAATATTTACGTTCATTATATTGATTGGCGCATCCGATTCGT